AAGTAAAGGATAAAGAAGCAACGTGCCGACCCCTCGGGGTTCCCTCGGCGTGTGGGATCATGTCCGGCTGATTTGGAAAGGGTGGGGGTCCAGCCGCGTCCCCCGGGGCACGCGGGTGAGGCTGGTGGGGGGGCGATCTGGTCCACGAGCGCCCCTCTTGGCGGATGGTGGGCCTCTGAGGGTTGTGACACATGTGGATTCCACTCGTCCTCTCCGGAGGGGAGGGGAGGGAGAGGGCTGAGAGGGGAGGGAGAGGGAGGAGAGAGAGAGAGAGGGATGGAGAGGAGGGGAGGAAGAAAAGCACGAGAGGAAGAGGAGGAGGAGGAGGAGGAGGAGGAGGAGGAGGAGGAAGACATGCTCTACGGTGGTTCCCTGGCCGCGCCCTGGAGCCCTCTGGGGCGCACCAGGGCTCTTCTCGGGAGCCCTCGGGCTGGCCCAAGGGCCTCCAGCTCGCGCGAGACCCCTTCAGCAGCTGCACGGTGCTCAAACGTTCGCCACTTCAGCCCTCGCAGCGCCTAGGTTGGCACAAGAAGCTTCCAAAATCGCACCATCACAATCAACCCGTGAGTATAAGAAAAATGCGCGGAAAGGATGCAAGGGCCTTGGAGGGCCATATTGACAATGTTCGGACGAGGTTGGTCAGCAGAAGTCGCCAAGGATGGGCCGAAGGGGCAAGAATGCAAGGGCTTAACAAGTTACTCATCCTTACTATGCGAGCTGACTGTACGGGCCAAGAGCCCCGAAGAGAGGCCCCACAGAAACTCAAGACGGCCCCGCGAGGGGCCCAAGAGGGGAAAGCCGAAGAGGCTCCGCGAGCCCTCCACGTCAAAATGGGTCCACGACTTCCCGGGTAGCCCCTCCACAGCCCCCCCATGACGCCCGTGCTGCCCCCGAGAGGCCCCCCACGAGCCTCAAGACCCCCTCTAGCTTCAGAGAAATTGAACAAGTGCCTCCAAGAGGCATCTGACAGGTCTCTCAAAATAGACCTCCTCGTGGCGGGTTTTTGGCCGCCTGCCTAGGCAGTTTCCCATACCGGCCTTTCTATCGGGCAGCTTCGCGTCCCGGCTCGGATCGCCCTCCCGCCGCTCCGCGCCGCCATTCTTTCATCCTCTGCCCGTCCCTGCTCCCCCGCCTCTCCGTCCTTCCAAGACAAGTCTCTTCCGATCGCCGCAACGTCTTCGATCTCTTCTCGACCCTCGGTGAAAGTTATGAGGCCTGCAGTTTCGCCCGCTGCTGGCGATCAAATCGAATCGCCTTGTTGGGTACACCCGCAGCGTGCTGAGAAATATCCCACCAACACTTCAGGGCGTAGGTGGTCTAACGAGCGTCTGCTGTTCGCGTCCTTTCCCTTCGGGACTTTGGGAGCGGTCCCCCCCCCCCCTGAGGTTGCTTGCCCCCCCCGCCATGTGTCAGAGGGTCCGTTTTGGCCCAAGATGGCTCCAAAGGACCCCAAACATTCCAAGGTGGCCCCGAAGATGGCTCAAGGTAAGCGAAGACGGTTCAAGATGGCGTTCAACATGCCTCCATGGGCTCCAAGAGGACCACGAGGCGGTTCTAAGTGCTCTCGGAGCCCCCTCAGGACTTCCCCGAGAGGCCAGCATCCTTCAACAACAAAATTTCAAGACCTGATGCTGGCGTTTCTCGCCTTTTCGCTTCCGATGCGGCTGTGGGGTCTCAAGATGCCCAAGATGGCCCAATAGAACCCAATGAGGAGCTACAGAGCAGCCAAAGACGGCCCCAAGACCGCCCAAGAGCGCCCCAAGAAGGCCCGAATAGGCGATGTTGTTGACACTAGGGAGGGGGGAGGCAATTTTTGGCCCGAATCCCTCCCACTTTCGATCGACGCCCTCAAATGTGGCCCCAAGAGGCCCTCCCAACCTCCCCAAACAAACCAAACAACTCCCAAACAAACTCCGAGCAAACCATAACAACTCACACAACACCATGTGTGGTTTCTATGTATTGTTTTATAATACAGAACAATCAACAACTAAATGCATGAAACTATACATAAAATAAAATCAAAAGCTGGCCCCGAACAAAAAGCAAGGGAATGATATGGAGTCGTCGGCGAGGAATCCACCTGCCGCCGCAGCGGCGGAAATGACTCCCCCGACGGGCGGGAGCGGCGACGAGGAGCCGGAGGGCCACACCGACCAGGAGCACCCCAGCAAGGCAGAGGACAAATCCACCCCCGTGATAAGCACCCCGACAAGCGGAGCCGTTTCGCAAACGCACCCAGGGAAGGGATCGAACAGGGCAGGGCTGTTTCGTAAACGCCCAGGGCCGCTGAGTGAAGGCCAATCGTCGGGGTCGGGGTGGCCTACCCTCCCTGGCAGCAACGGCCCTCCCAGGATGGGGAAGGCCGTGGCCGAGGCCCCACCACCCCCGCGGGGACGGAGACCCGCGGGCTGCCGAATGCAGCCACCGGGGCCGCCCCCTGGGGACCCCGCGGCCCGAGAACGAGGCGGGGCTTCGGAGCTGCGGGGGAGGAGGGGGGAGCAGTCGGGCCCGATGCGCGGCCTCTCTGGCGGCGCCGGGTGCAAGGCACGGACGAGGCGGCAACACCAGCCTCTTACTGGCCGAGGCAGCCCTGGCCGACCGTGAGCCGAACGGCAGCCTGCGCAATCCGGACCGTCGAATAACAGTCTGTCCAACGGGTAGTGGCTTCCCTCCAAGCCCGTTTCATGATCTCAATGCGAAACCCTCCACTTGCCCGCCCACAGACCTGACTGGACAAGAGCGGAAAGCGCCGCTTGTGTCCACGCAGATCGCAAGAAACAAATTATCCTGGCGAAGGTCCCAAACATATGCAGTTGTGGGTACCGTAATTGTGAATATCTGCTTCGGTGAAGCTCCCTGTGGGGCCACGCAGCGCTGCACTGGGCGGGGGGGAACGCTGTACTGTGTGGGTGGTGTGCCGAACAAGGTTTCTGGGACGCATGCGGACGGTCCCACTGAGGGCTTCGGTGGAGCTCCCTATGGGGCCACGAAGCGCTCTACTGAGTGAGTGAAAATGCCAAATTGGGTTACAGGGACGCATGCGGACGGTCCCACTGGGGGCTTCGGTGGAGCCCCCTATGGGGCCACGAAATGCTGCACTGGGTGGGTGACAATGCCAAATTGGGCTTCCGGGACGCATGCGGACGGGGGCAGTGAGGCCTTCGGTGGGGCTCCCTGTGGGGCCACGACACGCTGTACTGGGTGGTTGAAAAGAAGGGAGGATGGGGAGGAGGGCCACGAAACGCTGTACTGGGTGTGCGGGACGCATGCGGACGGTAGCACTGGGACCTTCGGTGGGGCTCACTATGGGGCCACGAAACGCAGTACTGGATGGGTGAAACAGAAGGAGGAGGGGGAGAAGGGCCACGAAACGCTGTACTGGGTGTGCGGGGCGCATACGGACGGTAGCACTGGGACCTTCGGTGGAGCTGCCTGTTGGCCACGAAACGTTGTACTGGGTGGGTGAAACGCATGCGGACGGTAGCGCTGGGACCTTCGGTGGGGCTCCCCATGGGGCCACGAAACGCTGTACTGGGTGTGCGGGACGCATGCGGACGGTAGCACTGGAACCTTCGGTCGAGCTCCCTATGGGGCCACGGAGCGCTGTACTGGGTGGGTGCAACGCATACGGACGGTAGCACTGGGGCCTTCGGTGGGGCTCCCTATGGGGCCACGAAACGCTGTACTGGGTGTGCGGGACGCATGCGGACGGTAGCACTGGGACCTTCGGTGGGGCTCCCTATGGGGCCACGACACGCTGTACTGTGTGGGTGAAACGCAGGGAGGAAGACGAGGAGGGCCACGAAACGCTGTACTGGGTGTGCGGGACGCATGCGGACGGTAGCACTGGGACCTTCGGTGGAGCTCCCTAGGGGGCCACGAAACGCGGTACTGGGTATGCGGGACGCATGCGGACGGTAGCACTGGGACCTTCGGTGGGGCTCCCTATGGGGCCACGAAACGCTGTACTGGGTGTGCGGGACGCATGCGGACGGTAGGGAGGAGTGGGAAGAGGAGGAAGATGAGGAGAACGGGGGGACCGTCTCTTCAAAACGAGGACCCAACACCACATGAGGGCTGGGAAATAAGGGAGGGGAGGACGACAGAGAGGCGGGTGAGGAGGAAAACAGCCTGGATGACGTGGGGAAGGCGAGGAGAAAGCAGGAGGGCTACGAGAAGGAAGACAAGCACGATGACGAGGAGGATGAAGACAAGGAGAACGAGAACGAGAAGGAGGAGGACGACAAGATCGACGAGGGGGGCAGGAGGGCAGCAGCGTGGAACACGAGGAGGACAGCTCGGATGACGGGGAGGGCGGGGCGGACGAGGATGATGACGAGGCTTCCGAGAAGGACGACAACGAGGAGAACAAGCAGGACAAGGCGGGAGAGGACGAGGTCGACGGGAAGAACGACTGGGAGAAAGACGACGTGAAAAAGAGCGTGGAGGACGAGGAGGATGACAACGAAGAGCATAGGGACGAGTAGCACGAGGAGGACGTGGAAGAAGTGAGGGCCCTCTGTACTTCTCGGGGTTACGGTGGGGCCGGGCCTGTCAGGAGCGTCTGAGGCAGTCTTCGGGCCCCTGGAGCCCTCGCCCCCCGCGTCGGGGAGAAACATCGCGGCGGGCATTCGTTCTGCCCTCAGGGGGAGGCCCAGGGTGTCAGAAGGAGGTTCCAAATGAAAAGCTGGTCCCAAGAGGGTCGAGACCTCTAAGGGTCCACACGTTAGAGCATGAAAACGTCGAGGAGGCCCCAAAGAGGCCCATGAGGGCGCGGAGAGCGCCCTGGGAGCCAGAGGCCTCTGATGGGGCTCATGGGGAATCTGGGCAAAGGGCTTCCAGGTCCCCAGGGCAAGTCTCGGTGGAGTCGGCATGTGAGGTGGGGGTGGGGGGGCTGATAGGAAGGGGCGGTAAGAGGGGAAGGGGGCGGGAGCAGGGGAGGGAGAGGGAAAGTGGCGAAGGGCAAACTGGCTGCGCTGGCGCAGGGAAGGCGGGAGTCAAACAGGCCGCGCGCGGTAGGGGCGGACGTCCACGTGGACCACCGAGTCCCTGGCCGCGTCGGAGACGTACAACTTGCGGCAATGGATGTCGCAGGTGAAGCTCGTGAGCCTCTCCACCACGGCCTTCACACTCAGCAGGAGCGGGTCCAGCCACTGGTCCCTCTCGCCCCCCGGGAGGCCGGAGACAAACATCGTGAGCGAGGTGGCGTGGCTGTAGGTGGCCCTGCGGGCGCGCCGCCGGCGCTTGACCTGGACCTCCTCTAGACGAGCGCGCCCCACTACTCGCAAAGTAGCTACTCGCAAATGCCCTGGATCCGCCGCGGGGGGGTCGACGATGAATCGCATCAACACAGGCATGTGTTTTTCGAGCGTTTGCGAGTAGGCACTCTGCGAGCAGTGTAACGCGCTCGGTAGTCCTCCACCCGCAGGAAGCCGCAGCTGCTCAGGATGTCCCACTGCGTTGCCCCGACGGCTGCCGCCAGGCAGTCGGCGTCCTGGTCGTGCCGGCCCTCCCCAGTGCCGGCGGTGGCGCCCGCTCGCTCCTGGCCCGTATAGCTGTTCTCGAAAGCGCTGGGGGTGTTGCTTTTTTCCGTTTACAGCTTTTCGTGATGTGATTGACCAGAGCATGTTACCCAACAGCGAAGACTGATAGGTTTCTAGTCAGGGGGGTCTGGGCAGGATCCGGGGGATGCCGGGGAAACCGGGGACTCCTTTTTTAGTCAACAGTAACGCACTTCGTGGTCTTCGAGTTCCCAGAACTCCATTCCCTGGCCACACTTTGAATGCCCGGAGCCAACTGTAGGCCACTTCGTGGTCTTCGAGTTCCCAGAACTCCATTCCGGGGCCACATTTTGAATGCTGAGGCAGGCTGAGGCTGAGGCTGAGGCAGGCTGAGGCTGAGGCAGGCTGAGGCTGAGGCCGAGGCTGAAGGCAGACTGAGGCTGAGGCTGAAGGCTGAGGCTGAGGCTGAGGCTGAGGCAGGCTGAGGCTGAGGCTGAGGCAGGCTGATGCTGAGGCAGGCTGAGGCTGAGGCTGAGGCTGAGGCTGAGGCTGAGGCTGAGGCTGAGGCTGAGGCTGAGGCAGGCTGAGGCTGAGGCCGAGGCTGAAGGCAGACTGAGGCTGAGGCTGAAGCAGGCTGAGGCTGAGGCTGAGGCAGGCTGAGGCTGAGGCTGAGGCAGGCTGATGCTGAGGCAGGCAGGCTGAGGCTGAGGCTGAGGCTGATGCAGGCTGAGGCTGAGGCAGGCTGAGGCTGAGGCCGAGGCTGAAGGCAGACTGAGGCTGAGGCTGAGGCTGAGGCTGAGGCTGAGGCTGAGGCTGAGGCAGGCTGAGGCTGAGGCTGAGGCTGAGGCTGAGGCAGGCTGAGGCTGAGGCTGAGGCTGAGGCTGAGGCTGAGGCTGAGGCTGCTGAGGCTGAGGCTGAGGCTGCAGGCTGAGGCTGCAGGCTGAGGCTGAGGCTGAGGCTGAGGCTGAGGCTGAGGCAGGCTGAGGCTGAGGCGAGGCTGAAGGCAGACTGAGGCTGAGGCTGAGGCTGAGGCTGAGGCAGGCTGGCTGGCTGAGGCTGAGGCAGGCTGAGGCTGCGGCTGAGGCTGAGGCAGGCTGAGGCTGAGGCAGGCTGAGGCTGAGGCTGAGGCCGAGGCTGCAGGCAGACTGAGGCTGAGGCTGAAGCAGGCTGAGGCTGAGGCTGAGGCAGGCTGAGGCTGAGGCTGAGGCTGAGGCACGCTGATGCTGAGACAGGCTGAGGCTGAGGCTGAGGCTGATGCAGGCTGAGGCTGAGGCAGGCTGAGGCCGAGGCCGAGGCCGACGGCAGACTGAGACTGAGGCTGAAGCAGGCTGAGGCTGAGGCAGAGGCAGGCTGAGGCTGAGGCTGAGGCAGGCTGATGCTGAGGCAGGCTGAGGCTGAGGCTGAGGCACGCTGATGCTGAGGCTGAAGCAGGCTGAGGCTGAGGCTGAGGCAGGCTGATGCTGAGGCAGGCTGAGGCTGAGGCTGAGGCTGAGGCTGAGGCTGAGGCTGATGCAGGCTAAGGCTGTGACTGCGACTGCCGTTGCCACTGCGAGTGTCATCGCGAATGCGACATCGACTGCGAGAACAGCAGACTTTTCCATTGGATTCTCATCTGAATCTTAAGGGGATTGCTTCCAAATATGCTCCTACACATCGCTGTTAGGTTGCTTTGCCGGGATAATTTTTAAAACTAAATATCCGTTGCTTTCTTATTAGCATTATGAATTATCTACTGTGTATTAGTATGGTTAGCGTTATTCTTATTATTGATATTATTATTATTTGCATTACCACTGTTATTATTATCATCTGAGTTCATCCTGTGGACAAAAGCGGCTACCCCAGAGAAGCGCCCCCAGCGTTTTTAAAGAACAGCCAAGTCCTGGCCCCCTCCGGCGCGGGCGGCGCCCGAGGGCCGCTGCTCCTTGAGGAGGGGCCCCTCGGGCCGCAGCGCCAGCGGCGGCGGCGGCGGCATCCACCCGCCCGGCGCCGCCCGGTCGGCCTCGGCCTCGGTGCCGGGAGGGGCCGTCGGCGGGCGACCACGAAGGCCACCACTCCGCGTCGCCTGGTCGGCCTGTCCCCTGGCCCCAGCGACGGAGGAGTCAGTAATCGGCGGCGGGGGGGCACCGTATCCACCACTCGGCGTCGCCTGATCGAGCTGTCTCCCGGCCTCGGCGTCGGCGCGGTAAGCTACAGGCGGCGGGGGGGCACAGCACCCACCCCAGGGCGTCGCCTGGTCGACCGGTCTTCCAGCCTCGGCGTCGGCGAGATAAACTACAGGTGGCGGGGGGACAGAATATCCACCCCAAGGCGTCGCCTGGTCGACCTGTCTCCCAGACTCGGCGCCAGAGAGGTAACCTACAGGCGGTGAGGAGGCATAATATCCACTCATGTGCGTCGCCTGGCCCGCCGGCCTTCCACCTTCGGCGCCGGTGCAGAAGCCTGACGGCGCTGGGCAGGCCGCGCAGCAGCCGACCTGAAGAATCAGGAAGGCACCGACACCGCTACTCCCTGGCAGTTTTTTCCCAAGCTTAGATGATGTCAAAACACTGGGGGTGCTTCTTAGTGTTCGAGTGTTTCTGTGTTTGGGGGCATTTTTTTGCGGTTGCGGATTTTCGTCGCGCCAACGGGCTCGACGGGTTGTCGTTGTGTTGCTGTTCTGTCGTAGGTTGCCGCGTATTTATCCGTGTTGGCTGGCCGAGCACCGAAACACGGAACATGGGGCACACAAGCACCCCCCCCCAGCCCTTTCTCCATCAGAAAAGCTCGGGATGCGTTCTGACTAGAACTTCGGGGCGCATCCAGCCGTGACAAGCAACGAGGGCTCGTCAGGCTGGGCAGCGGCATCGGCGCCTCTTGCCCCTCGGAAGACCACCAGCGGCGGGCGGGCAGAGCACGGATTGATCGTCAGCTGCGTGCCAGCAGATACGCTGGGAGACGCCGGGGTGTCGAGCCACCTCACCAGGGATCCGGCGTTCCAATTTAGATGCCTGTACCCCAGGAGGTCTACATGCTGAGTGCCCAGAGGTCCCTCGCTTGCTAAATGAAGCGTTCGGCGCATGAAATATGATCGAGTGTTAAACCTGAACTTTCTGTTAAGAGACTTCAAGAAATCCTTCTGGTGGTAATGTGTATTGGACATACATCCCTAAAAAACAAACCACCGCAAAACTCAACACGCATGCCTATACAACAAACGCAAAACAACGCAAACGCAACGCACACGCAACGCCAACGCAACGCTACGCTACGCAATGCGACGGCTGGCGCCGACGACCGCCCTCCCTTTCGCGGGCGAGGACTACCAGGGGCGGGGGGAGTAGGTGGAGGAGAAGAAAGGGAAGGAAGAGGAGGAAAAAGACGATAAGGATGGAGAAAAACAACACGGAGGAACGAGGAGGAGGGTGCGGACATGGAGGGGGAGGTGGAGGAGGAAGAGTAGGAGGAGGAGGAGGAGGAACGCTAAAACATGTATCTTGTGTCCTGCACCCAGCGGTGCAACGCGGCGCGTTTATGCAACCATGTGTCAGCCCATCACCTTTTTTCCGCTGGTACAAACAAAACGCAGGCCTGGAATGGACACGCACAAGAATGGCACGGCTCGTCCAAACAAACCCACGGAGCACCGCATGTACATACATATGCACGTACATACATACAGATCAAGTATATCAAAAATGATATGCAAACACGGTTTGACCGGCTCGTTACGCTTCGCCGTTACAATATTGGTCGCATGGTACCAATAAGTTGCACTGTGACCGCCATTGTGGTCCTCGTTAGAAGGGGGATGGTGAGGCGCCGAAAGCTTTTAGACTTGGCGAGCGCACGCGGCCTGTATTGTTCATGAGGGCCACATGGTCACATGTCTCGTGGAACTTGAATGGCAGACTTACAGGGCCAATCGGTTTCAACAAACACGAAGAGCCCCCTAAGGTCCATGTTTACTGGGGTTAAATCTGGGGCTGGAGCTGGACCCGAGCTAAATCTGAGGCATGAGCTGGAGCTGAGCAAGAGCTGGAACTGAAACTGGGGAATGCCTGAAACTGTCGCTACAGCTCCCCGTCCTCCTCCTTCTACTTCTCTTCCTCCTCCACCTCCTCCTCCTCTGCCTCCTTTTCGCAGAGAGCACGAAACGCTGGACGGTTGCATCGGGGCACAACATCTCAATCCCGGGAGAGGAGTACGGGCAACACGAAAGCACGATTACCCCAGCAAAGCCCTCCATTAGCAGCAAAGGTGACCCGCGGGACCTGGTGTACGTGTGGGCCCTGCGGGTTTGCGAAGATTGCGGCACCTGTAGGGCCAGCGGGACCTGCGACACCTGTGGGACTCGCGGGGCCTTCGACACCTATAGGGCCTGTGATACCTGTGGCACCCGTACGCGTGGGACTCGCGAGACCAGCGATACCTTTGGCGTGCGGGACCTGTGGGACCCGTGGGACCTGTTGTGCGTGTGGAGTTCGCGAGATGTGTGACACTGGTGAAGCCTGTGGGAACTGTGCAACCTATGGGACGTGTAAGATCTGTGGCATTTGCGGGTCTGGCGAGACCTGTAAGACCTGTTGGACCCGTGGGGCCGATGGGACCACTGGGACCTGTAGGACCTGCTAGGTCTGCGAGGCCTGTGAGACCTGTGGGGCCTGTGGGACCTGTGGGACCTGCAGGACCTGTGGGACCTGCGGGGCCTTCGACACGTGTGGGACCTGTGGTACCTGTGGGATCTGTTGGGCCTGCGGGGCGAGTGGGGCATGTTGGACCTGTGCGACCTGCGGGACCTGCGAGACATGTGGGACATGGGGATATGCGAGACATGTGGGACCTGTTGGACATGTGGGAAGTACGGGACCTGTGGGGTCTGTGAGACCTGCGAAACATTTTGGACTTGTAGAACGTGGGGGACTTGCAGACGCCTATGGGAGACTTCTTGGGGTCTTGTGGGCCCCCCTGAAATAAGATCATTGAAACATTTCTGGGGTTTAACCGGGGGGGTCTTTTGAAGACGTCCTGGGGGCTCTGGGGACCTCTTGAGGGCCTCTTGAGGGCCTCTGGTGGCCTGAGGGGGCGTCTTGGGGACCCCTCCGTGATCATCTTGGGAGAAAAACTGGACATGTCAGTTCGGGTTGTCCTTTGTAGGGCCCAATTGGGCCGTATTGCGAGGTCTCTTGGGTTATCTTGGGGCCTTGGGTCGTTTTGGGGGCCTTTGGGGCCGTCCTAGGGCCGTCTTAAGAGCCACTTGGGCCGTCTGGGAGCGATCTTGGGGGCCTTTTGGGCCATTTTGGGCGGCCAGAAGCTCGAAAAAGTGAGACTGTCAACCATCAAATTTTACATAATAAAAAACCTAAATTGAGTAAGCGATGCTTTGGCCCCCGGGGCCCTTTTGTGGGTCAACTTCGGGCTCTCGTGGGGCGTCTTGGGGGCCTCTTGGGCCGTCCTGACGTCATGCAGGGCGTTTTGAAATGGTTTGGTGCCGTCTCGGTGCCCCGTACGACCATCCGGGAAACGAACGGGGGCCCGCTTTGGGGCGGCGCAGAGCGGCCGGCAAGGCCCCGGAACCGCACATGCGGACTGCTCGTTGCTGGGGGAGTCTGAGGCCGCAGTGATGTACAGGGGGGTCGCCTGTTTTTTGTTCGTGATGCGAATCTTCGGAGAAGGCGAGCACGTGTGATAATGTATGAGTGCATGCATGCATGCATGCATGCATGTATGGTTGTATGTATGTATGTATGTATGTATGTATGTATGTATGTACGTACGTACGTACGTACGTATGTATGTATGTATGTATGTATGTATGTATGTATGTATGTATGTATGTATGTGTGTATGTGTGTATGTATGTATGTATGTATGTATGTATGTATGTATGTATGTATGTATGTATGTATGTACGTATGTATACAAATGTATATATATATACATATGTAGATTGGTGTGCATGTGTGCATGTGCGTGTGAGACGTGTGCGTGCGCTTCGCACAAACAGGACGGTGGAAATCACCAGAACCCCCTTGTGCACGCTAGGCCCCCTTATTGGGCCCACGTGCAGGCCACACACGCCGAGGGAAATAAGGAGGAGGAGGAAGAGAAAACGCATGAAGAGGACGAAAAGGAAAAGAAGCAGGATGGGGAAAAACCGTCGCGAAGCGAAAAGTGAGGAGGGAGGTGGACAACGACGGCGACGGCAACGGCGACGACGCCAACGCCGACGCCGGCGCCGATGCCGACGACGAGTGACGAGGATGACGAAGACGACGATCGATGACGACGACGACGACGATTGCGACCGAAGACGTCATCGTTGCGTCGTCGTCGCCGTCGCCATCGCAGCGCCGTGGACGCCGTTTTCGTCGTCGTCGGCCCCATCGTCGTCCTCGTCGACTGCTCGCGCCCATGTGTCGATGTCTCAAGCGAATCGCTCGTTTTGGCTGCGCGCATTCACTCTGCGTTGCGAGGTCGAGCGAGCTCCTTCCGTCGAAACACGCGCCGCCCGAATCAGAGGTCGCGGGCAGACGCAAGATGGGCCATTTTTGTGCTCGATGTTGAGGCTATCTCAGGCTTCAACCGCCCAGTCACCTCGCGGGCGCTGTTCGGCTGCGACTCGACCTCGATAGGCGTGTCCACGTTACTCGTCACGCCGAAGTAGCCCGCCGCTGCGTTGCCCTGGTCTGCGTCGGCAGCGTCAGCGACGCCCTTCTCCTTTTCGACGCCGCCCATTTCGAGCTGCTCGTCATCGCCCGGGGCCGCGGGCCAAGTCCCATCCCCCACTTTCGGTGCGGGCGGGATCGGCGACCGCGTCGAGCAGCTCTGGCGCGCGGAGCCCCTGTCCAAGCCGCCCTTGTCCAGGTGCCCCGTCGCGACGCCGCGCGCGTTCGTGTCGACGCGGTCCTCATCGCCCGTCTCAAGATCGCCCATGTCGCGGGGCATCTTCTCGACCCCGTTTTCGCTGCCTGCGTCGGGTTGCTTGCCGTCGCCGTCGATCTCCGCGCGCGTCGCGCCATTTCCAGCAGACTGCTTGACCTCGCTGTCCATCCCCTCGCAGTCCCTGTCGGCTTCGGCAGACTCCGCGCGGGCGCCGCCTCCGCCCCCGTCGCGAGCCAACTGTGCCATCTCAGATTCGTGCGACGGCGGCTGGCCGACAAAGTCGTCGATCTGAAAGATCCCCGGGGATCTGCGACCACTCACTTGCGCTCGTCGGCGCCATTGTTGCCGACGTCGAAGTTGTCGTCGTCTTGTCGGTCGCTTTCGAGGCCGTGCATGTCGCCGCCCACGTCGCCGTCGATCGTCGCTGTCGTCGCGCGGTTTGACCCCCCCAGGCGCCCGCGTCTACGGCCCTGGCCCGAAGGGGCCCGCACTGCGCCCACTGGAGACCGCCATTCGCGCGTTGGCGAGGGCTCACGAGGACTCGCGTCCGCGCGGTTAACAGAGACGACCGCGGGGCCATGGCGAACGCTGGCTCGCGGCTCGCTGCGCCCAAAAACCACGGCCGCGCAGGTCACGGCGCGCGGCGCGCTCTTGCCCAGACATTCGAGTGACGCGCGGCTACGGACAGCATTTCCACGGTTCCCGGCTTGAAAGGTGCCTGGCTCAGAATCCCACGCGTCGGGGAAACCCCCTTTTTATGCGGAGACAAAATCGCCCGCCTCCCATCCGTTCGGGGCTGCGCGCGTCGGCGGGCGCATGGGCCGACGAATCGTCGACGCGCCATCGATGCCGCCCCGACGCGGCACCGATGCACTGCCGATGCGCCGCGTATCGAGGCGCGCACGCAACGCCCATCAGACGCGACCCCCGCGCACAGGAACGTTGGAATGGAAGCGACAGTAGGATCTTGGCGGACAGAACCGAGCGCTGACGCACTGCAGCAAGGGCCAGCTAGCAGCGGCAAGCATCGGGCCATGCCTCTCCCATTGGCCGTCGGCGGCCTGGTCGACCCAGGCTGGAGTTGGAGCGGGGG